CTTACTCTGCAAGAACGTGCGGCATATTTTTGAAAAGCCTCCACTTTTCTTTTTGCAAAGGATGGCGAAATGATGAGAGCAGAAGGATACCGTGAAGCAGACATAGTCACTCAGGGGTAATTGTAGGGCCTACAAGATCGCATATGCAGACGGTAGGAAGGAAGCTTCCCCAGTAAAGTGTGACTAACTCTTTTGTTTACAAATTATTCCCCAAAACAGGGTGCAAGCGGCCGAGGAAGTTCTTTGACGTAACCAAAAGACCTAATAGTATGAATAAAGTGAGCATTTTGTTGCATTTATCATTGACACTACCGTCAATATCAGCGTAATCCGTAGTCACCGTTACATATACCATCGTAGCCTTTCATACAGAACCCATACACTTTCATTTGAGTAAAGTATGACACTTAAGGAATCGCTTAGGCCGCGCAATACACCTCTACACTTTTCGATATCCTTCGGTGCCCCTCGGTACATTCAAGAAGAAGGCTATAATCGGTAGGAGTGTAGGAGTTAACGGACCAAAGATGATGAAATTCGTACATTTTTACGATGAATTACGAATAAATTCCTCTAGAAGCGCGCACAATCCTGGGAAAATATGCACGTGATGAGTTAACTGTGAGGAATCAGGTAAATTCTCAAAGAAGTATAGGCCAATCGCAACATGCTCTCTATTTTTTCCCTGGGGGCCCAGCGTAACCTTCCCCGATAAATGACGCCAGTGAACCGGCTTCTCTTACGTTAAATTAATAAAACGGTAATGAAATATTCATTTGTTTGTTTACTTGCTTCATCCCACCTAATTTAAAATTTTTTGCCCTATTCGGAACAGTCTAATTCACGCTACTTATACACAATGAGTACATTGGATGGACGTCTGTTTTACGTTTATACGGGCAAAACCACCTAAGAGGAGTTTTCACAAACACACCCATTGGCAATACTTGTTCAGTGTTGACAAGAGACTCACATAAGCACCAAGACGCAACGAGTCTAGGAACGTAAAAAGGGCATAAAACGTCCAAACCGAAATGAAGTTCCATCAGAATAGCCCCTTCCGCCTACAACACTGTTTTACCGTAATCTTTACACACTAGTGTGGGAGTGATGGCTCATTGGACAGGAGAAATTCCATATTGCCTATGGGATCCAATTCTTTTAAACACCGTTCGACACACGGTACAGCTTCAAAATGGCATAACTCGCCCATACGTTCCCGTCAACCAGACTCCGCTGAACGGCCATCTCACAGTGTACCGCAGTTCGGTGGTCACAGATGGCTTACGGGGAGGTTTGCATGTGGAACCAAACGTCGTCTGCCCCTGAAACTTCCGGTTAAGAAGATTACAAAGTATATCATATCTTCACCAAGTCTCTTCACCAGTTAGCTATCTTAGGTGTGTTTTTTAGAGCCACTCTCAACCAACCGCTTTGAAAAAGATGCATCCAGCGCTCCGGATGGAATTCAAACTTGTCCTCCAAGAAGAGGTTTCATTTTTTATGAACTCACCCAAACGATAACTGGGACGTTTGCTTAAGAGGTACATGCCATAGTAACGTCGAGAGTGAAGCCATGTCAACCCGTTTTACGAGGGCTGCAAACGAAGTAATACAACGAACTACATGCTTGGGGACGCTAATTTACGACTTTTTACGTAAGTGCTTGGCCTCTATTAACTTCTCTGCACCTCACCTGTATGGTTTTAGGAAATAGTATCCATGTAACACCGACCATCTGGCAGTAGATGGCCTGGCTGATATTACTCGTCGCCGGGATAGGAAAGATGGCAGATACCCCTACTTTCCTAAAGCCCCTGATTGCATCAGCTCCGAGGGTCTCTTCAGCAAACTGTCAACTAAATAAATCAGTTCATTGGTAATACATCAGCTGTCAGCATATTTAAGTGGCCTCGTCCAGAAGGTATGAATGAATTTTTCAAGGGAACAAAACGTCTTACTGAAACCCCCCGCGGTTCCGTCTTAAGACCCCTCATGTCTTTTATATTCTGGAATGATCTGCCTTTAGCAGCGTCTTATGAAACTCCCCTCCTTGGTCACAACATCGGGTTATAAGGCGAAACCACAGAAGAAACAACAGGCTCACTTGGCAAGGCGATCTGACACGACTTCAACATTAGGCAGACCACGGTTGCGGAAATTCAATCGTGAAAGTTCTCAGATGGTAATTGTTGGACCCGACGTGTTTTGCAAGATCAAGCTTAACGAGACTGGGGTGAAGACCCCTTGAGTGCAGAAAGACCTTGGGTCCTTGTCCCCATTATCTTAAATCTTAGGCTGACCTAGACGAAGCGGAGTTCATTGCAGATTTGGTACTTGCAAATCTGTGGTAACTATTTGGACGGTTCAATCATAGGTGCTTCTACCACATGCTTGGCAGTTTCAAATAGCTTTACACAGAATTTGGGGCCACGTACTGCTGTCCTTTACCCCAAGAAGATAGGAACTGTAGCGTCACACACTTCCCCAAAATCAATGGCCTAGGGTTCGACAAGATTCAACATCGATGGCGACCTTGACAGTTTAGCTGGACTCGATAAGCTGAAGGCACCCGGTCAGGCATCGTCGCCAGTCGGCACGCTGTCGTGTTACGTTGCACTGCTCGTATTCGACTCTCTAGCCAGTTAGTTGGACCTCATCGGCATCTTGGCACAACCATACATATATACTGTTCCATCCGACTAGGCTATCGTGTTCTTCCTTGGTCTCGTATTCACAAGTATATAACAAGTCCGAATAATTAGTGATTGGCCTTTGCGTCCGTCAAGTTCGCACCAGGACAACTCCTAACCAACTATTTAAGACAAATTCACGGGTGATCCATTAAATTGTTTCCGGAACCAGGTTTCCAGAGGTATCAGAAAGCCATAGCAACAATCGGCTCATATAGTGACCCGAAGGTGGTGTGAAACACTTCAAATATTTCACTGCCCCCACATTATCAATTGTTCAAGACATGCTGTGAAGTGAAACTGAGGAGGAACGCACAGTACCAACTTGGCCAGGAAGACCTGAGCAACAATTTGACCAAAAAATATCAGCTTACTGAATATACTACTTGGCATGCGATTCCAGAAATCGTTGAAAGAAGTCTTATGCTGGGTTGCCCCTGATTTCTAGTTTTTGAACAATCAACTCACCAGCACCCTTATTGCTACCACATACGAAACTTCAACCACAGTAACTGGTCTTAGATTTCTGGGCTGTCATGACTGAGATGGAGATCTGGACGAGAGTCAAATCTAAGAGGTCACTGTACCTAGCGACTCTCGAGGACATATTCACAACAATGACATGTGACAGATTTTTCTAGTAATTTATCTTACATGAATCTGTCCTACAGCAAACAATTAACACCCAATACACCCCCTCGGTAACACTGCATACTTCAGTGTAAAGTCTGTAGTTTTACATATGTGCAAAATCCATCACCGCTGGATGGCAGTTTTTACTATGTTTATTTCTTCACATCACAAAGACCATTTCCAAAGTTGTAGGCCTATATTACTGCGAACGATAACGCCCGAACAGTGGGAAATGACTCAACTTAGATATTCACCCGGGTTACATGACTGTATGGAGACTTACTGGTCCCTGCAATCACTTAAGTGAGTTCCTGTTCATCACTGGAGTTATAAACAGAAGAACTGCCGTGTCAAATAGACGTTTGTCTGAAGGAACATCGGATTATACGGACAGGTCAAACATGTCGGCAACTTGTAATGCAGACGTCGAATACTGGGCGACTTTGGTGTTCTTTTAGCATGAAAAAAGAATGGTGAATGGAGACAATCTAAATGCACAAACGAGGTGTGTGTAGTGTATGGTGATACCTTCCTATCCTTTTCATAACTTGCAGACAGTTTTGATATCATGGTAGAGTTGGATGTCCTCCCTTCTGTACCACTTAAGAACTCAAATATCATAGATTTCTCTACCATTGTCAAGCTGATGATACCAGCTTCTCCACGTCAAACTTTCCTCCGATTGAAAACGAGTGCCTGCCATTTTACTATACGAGGATGGGGGCAAACCGCTTACCTCTAACTACCGACTAGTCCTCTTGGCCTCCTCAGTTACTGACCCAGGAACTTCGACCGTCCGTCACTAATAATATCATGAGTAAAAGCAATACCTACAGCAAGCTGACCAGTTAGTTAATTCATCATTTCTGTCTCTTCAAGTCCTTCTGAACAGCATAGGATGGTGGCTATTTTAAACGAATACCGAGTTTCACTGGGACAGACACAAGACCAAGAGATTATTTTCTGTCATGCCTGTAGCGTCACAAACTTCTCCAAAACCAATAGCCTAGGGCTCGATGAGATTCAGCGTTGATGCTGACCTTCATAATTTAACTGGACTCGCCGAGCTGAAGGCACTCGATCAAGTATCCCCACCATTCGGCGCGCCGTCGTGTTACGTTGCGCTGCTCGTAATCGACCATCTAGTCAGTTGGTTAGAACGCATCTGTATCTCAGCCCGACCTCGAAAATGTACTAATCCACTCGACTGCGTTATTGTGTTCTTTCTTGGTCTTGAATTTGTGGGCATATAACAAGTTTGAACAATTGGAGATTGGCTTCTGCGTCTGTCAAGTTCGCACCAGGACAATTCCTAAATATCTACAACACAGAGTTAAAATTTCGAACGTCCACTTGGTCACAGCGTGACCCTACAAACTAATTCATTAATACGCCCACTTATTTCCTATATTGACTGTTTTTTTATATCTCCAGATTGTCAGACACAGGAGACAGTGGTCTACCGTTGAAAGACAACGAAGTTAGTTACGCTAAAGCTTCTTCCAATGCTTCAACAAGCAACTGGAATTACTACATCACTTTTTTTCCGTGTTTGAAAGTCAGGCTGATTCTCCAATTAAAATCTTGACATTCTGTTTTGGTTGTCTGACCTGTGATTTGAAATTCTGGAAAATTAAGCTGTAGCCCAGATTGTTGATTGAACATTCGTTTAGCTGCGGTATTTCTGGGTCGTAATCTACTGGCCTTAGTGACCACTACATTATATTTGTCTTTCGTCGGGAATGGATGACTCCCAAGTCTCGGAAGAGGTAGTTTGAGACATTGTCATAAATCCAAAGTAACAGACAACATTCTCACCTGAGGAAGTTAAGAACATTGTCAAGGAGGTCTGTTAGATTATAGAACTTGTGGTTTCTAATAGTCATCCATTTAGAGCATTGAAGCCACTGTTGGATCTAGTTCATATTCGCACAATAAAGTAAAACAGTGGACATCTACTGTAGTCGAACAATGCCTTAATCAGCTTACTAAACTAGGGAAGCCATTTAAATACATAGGTTGGTCCGATAAATATACATAATTTTTTAAAGTCACTTGTGTTATCATGCAAAAGTGTGGAGCTGGACTGCATACTGCAAGTTCCTGTTACTGGGATACCAGTACTGATGGTAAGCCTAGCTTTAAATCGCATGTTGTAATTTGGTTGTTTTCTGGCCGGCAAACACTTCAGGTGTATTTTGGGTTTTATGGCAGAAACCGTGAGAGTACTTCAAGTGCGTGCAGAATCCTCGCCCTAAATATCCTATGTACTTTGCGGGTTATTCCCTAAGTACCCGAGATGCACTCAGTGTTTGCCTGTACAATACCTTAACCAAGTATGTTTGTTGCATGTCTTATGGTCTGTTCATTGTATAGTGTTGTAACATTTGGTACATTGCATTGCTGCTTGTTGTAGTCGGTTAATTAGGCCAGATAAAGTTCTGGTAATCTGGAATCTCACAAGAATGTGAGGTTCGGTCTTTTTGATGTTTAAAGGGCATAAAATTAAACAGATGTCATCAGAAACAGCCATATACTATGTTTGACGTTGGTAGAGAGTTGTGAAATTATGAACTTTCTTGGACACTAACTCTAAAAACCTGGTGGAACTAGTGCACATCCCTGTATGCTGGAGATATATACCTGCACCTTTTTGTTGCTCCCTACGTGATTGACAAATATCCACTGAGGCATGCATGGATCATCGTTAACAAGAAGAATTCTATCATTTCACCATCCTAACCACGAAATAGTGCACGAATCTTCGTGCAAGCTTTTTCATGTATAACACAGGATGAAATTTTTATACACTATTTGTCTTGTGTACAGAAGCCGCCTTTACTTATAAGTAGAACTATACACGACATGCCATAATATCCTCTCTAATTTGTTTGCACCTTGGAGAACGAAACTGTTAAGTCAGCCATGGCTTTGGTCTGATTCTTGGCCTTTTGTTTCAAAATATTTTCGTAGGAATAGCTCTTTAAAACAAGGTGGCGATAGCTATGCCCTCCAGATTTGGTCAGATATACATGTTGGCTTCGGAGTTAACCGCCTTAGAGACCCTAGTAGAGACATATATAGACAGTGGACTCAGGAGCTGATTACATCAAATGGCTAGCTGGTGGAATGGCCTAGACAATGGCAAGTCAGATACTAGTAATAAATCGCATACGCGTACTAAGTTGACTGTTCCGTAATCCTAAGTGTAGTTGAAGCCCTAAGTCAGAACTCTCCTGTCTCTTAGGCACATTTCCAACACATGTTAATTCTGGTATTTCGTCTGAAAGTTCTTTGATAAATCTTTGGCTTTGGATTGCCATTTTTCTCCTCTTTGTCCCATTGGGTCGCAGGTTGCAGACGTACCGGAAAAATCATGAAGACCACCCTCCCACAGTCTTCATATACTACATCAGCCGTTATTCACCCTTTTCATCTTTATATTTGGGTAAGAAAATGACCCGTTAAAACATCATTTTCCATTCAAGTCATCAGTACATAAAAGGTAGATATTACCAATATGACCCTTCAAGAGAGTGTCGTGTATCGGTCTGTCAAAAGATTTTTCCCAGCCAAATTCTATCCCAGCTAACGTCGTGCATCAATGTAGGCTGTCAGTCAGCATGCCTAATACATATCCCAGTCGATTCGACGTACCTACCTAAATTCCCAAGTTTATCACTAGGACTTTTAAAATACTTTTACCACATGTGAGTGATACTTCAAAAGTGACCAACTACCTAGAGCTCGTTTATTTCTTGACCATACTTCACAGCCTTATGGCAGGCCAGGATTATCTGCCGCACAGTACACCTGACCATCGTTAGACATATTAATACCTCTCTAGATCTGTAAGTAGCTAAAGTTGGAGGAAGCCGATCGAACCGAGATTTCAGCAGTCATACAAGTGCAACTCCAACGCAAGGGAAGTGGTTAATTGACTTCACTTCCTTTTTATTTGACAGGCGTCTTACCAATATAGAGAATTCTTAGATCTGCAGGAAGTCATGAATGCCTATTAGTATTGAGTTATTAGTATATTCAGAGGAAGTGCAGAGTATTGAAGCTATGAGAGAAAATGTGTTGTCAGCAAAATGAACTGAAAATATTTCGGCGCTGACAGACAATATCAACATAGGACTAAGCACTATCGCGTAGCGGTCAAATGGGCCACTCATGTCCGGACGAGTAAGAAAGTACTAGGATAAAAACAAAGTAACAACGGAGAAAGCTGTTAGGTAGTAAAAGGTCGTGAAAAAAGAGCAAGGTAGAGTGAAAAACTACTAGAATTTAGTAGGATTGTTTAGAAGAACATAATCTGTACATACATCCGCACCTCCGCGATCGAGTTTGAAGAATATATCACCTCATCCATTGACTTTCTCTCCAAAACTTTACGTTTCACTTCTACATTACTAGCGTGATGACACCGCGACTCACGGAACTATGCTACGCAGGCAATGGTGGTCACACATCTGAAGACTCACTTCCTCTTTCTGTATTGGATGCCCTTCACAACCACATCGTAGATAGCAAACTGCAGTAAAGTACACTCAGGATCTGGTAGGCAGTCGGATATAAAGACAGCGTAAGTTGACGATAACCAAGTGAATCTTTTATATCCGCTCAGAGACTTTGTTGGCCACTGACAGTCTGTCTCAACTTCCCAGGTATATGAAGTGGTCAGCGCACTCAACCACTTCACTCCCTATCGTTAGACAAGGCATCACTGAAGACCAGTCCTGGAGCAACCGTTTACATTTGGGTGGCGAAAAACGCACTTAAAACATTCTCATATTGCCAGACAAAGTGTCTAAAAGAAACTATTTTGTCAACATCACGTAACATTAATGTCATCTGTGTACTCTACATTTGCTGAAGATTCTCCTGTAATGAGCTCAGTCTCTGCAATTTCAGACGACTAGAGGAAAATCTCCATGACAAAGTTGGAGATACTGGACATCCTTGGCAAACACCACTCAACATACACAACTCACTTGATAACACCATAGGCTGTAACTCGACCACGGGTGTTCCAGTACAGAGCCTTCGACAGAATGATCTACTTACTCGAGACCCTTTTCAGTAAGAGTGAATCGCAGGCCCATGCTTCTCCGCTACTGCCACACTAACCACTAACCTTTTAGCCTCAGTTTCCTTGATAAGTCTAAATAGCCGTCTGCTGTTGTATGTCACAGCGGCTTTTTCCATACCCTTAGCCATCGCTGCCCACTAATGTTCACGGTTGTTGCGTTGGTTTCTTGTCAGTCTGCATTCAAATAGCTTCTGCTCCTCATTGTTCTTGGAAACTATACGGATGCGTTCATGTGCATCCGTTAATTCAGAAGAAGCTGTTAAGACCTACTGACGCTTTCTAACCTTTCTGTGAGAGTCTACAATGTGGTATTTGCAGCAGACTGGAAATGGTACCAGGCCTCTTCCAAATAAGTGAGATTTTCCTGTTCCTAAAACTGTCCAGGTAATTCTTCGTTAAAAAAGGTTTAGTATTCTCACCATCTAGTTGTGCTCGGAACGGTATTGTTGCCGTCCTTTTCTTACTCCCATTTGGGCCCACACGTACGCATGATTGCCATCCAAACACGTACTACAAAAGGATCAACAGTCTTTCATTGATCATCTTCTGCAGTAACTGCTAGGGGTACTATCTATCCATGTCCACCTCTGAGTTAGCTTGTGGACACCACGTCAGAAAACATTCCTCTTTATGTGTATAGTTCTTGCTGGCCAGAGAAAAAGAACAATTTTAGTAGGTGATCGTCATTATCTGTTCGTTCGGATGAGATTCTTAGTACCTACTTGTGCATTGAATCGACCTGCTACGACAGCTACGTATGAACTTTTGGCTTTCAGTAGGAAGCTAGGCAATTTTCTGGTACAGCTCTTCCAAACTGCAGTCATTAAGAGTACGTAAGCAGGGATTACAAAAAGACAGCAGAGAATCCCCCTACTCTTTTTAGTGTCATTCAGTCGAACAGCGCACAGGAACTGTAGTTCATTGGTTTAGGTAGTTGACTCAACCAATGCGTCTCACGTTCGAAACCCGCTCCACTTACCGAGGTTTGAGTAGCCAGGTAGTATCAGTTTCCCTCATACAATAGGTGTTTCTCATTGCCTACTCTACGAATGTGCACGTGGTTGCTGAAATTCTTCCACAACTCACAGGTGACTGCCAACTGAAAACACATTCCACAGTGCACCTTCTATCTTAGCACTTAATCCTATACCCACACCTGCAAGATTACTAAATATCGGATTCAAAAAAACTCGAAGGCTGGATTTCGCGGATCCACCATGTTGTGGCTGGATAAGGTTAAGTAAGTAACCGCGCTTGGATCCTCTATGCGTATCTCACAAACACAGAACGCGTCTGTGGCCCAAGATGCCGCAGCTTCGCCTAGAGAAGTTTGTTGGCCGATGTGACGGAGAGTGCGGGAAATGAAAGCTTCAATAGGTATCTAGAAGGCGGTTTCAAGTTATCATAGATGATTTTTCATGAACTACGCCTAAAATAAGTTAGCTATGGTGTAGGAATATTGACCAAGAAGAGTGAAGAAAGACTAGAAAGTATAGATGTAGAAGGTTGATCATGACCCAAGGGAACCTGAGTGCTGATATAGTTACGTCCACACCGAGGAAGGCTCGTTCTTCTTGAGGTACTTACAAGAGGAAGGGACAGTGCACAGTAGCAGATCCCACAGGATGTCTGCTTAATGCCGGTTACACACGACCTTATTAGAAGCTTGATTTTTTGATTTTTTGGCACAGACTTTTAAGTGGTATCTGTAAACAGTCAGTTATCCTCATCAGCATAAATAACATTGGGCATATGTGTGTGCAATTAATGCATCTAACTACTACGAAATCCTTGCACATCCTGCATAACAGTTTTCATCACCCACTCACTTGTGATAAGTACACCTTTTTGTTACCCAGGTATGTTGCTCAGGTGGGAAGTTCCTAGTCATAACTACAATGTAAACCATGATTTTGGAACACCTTTTTAATAACTTGTTAGTCATTAGGTCTTTTCATCTTAACTGGTCATAAAACTATGTCATTCCGCTTTGGGAGGTTTCAAATCGTTCTTGTGACGGTTATTCTGCTTTTAAAGTAAAGTTTCATATTTCCTTAACTACAGAGGTAATTACTTTTCATGAGTAGTGACATATTGCACATACGCATGGCTCAGGAAAAAGATAATGCTGGTTTGATGTTCCTTTAGCTTTGATATTTTACTGTGGACGTTTCATCCCCAGGCTTGCGAAAATCCAGTTGGTGCTAACGCTGAGTTATCAGGAGAGTCGTGTCCATTAAACGTGTACACTGTCTCCATCCTTATCCAATACTATCATAAAGACATCTCTTCTATCTGAAATCACAGACAAAATCAACGTGGAACCTCGCACAAAAGTTGCCACGCTTCATAGTAATATACAAAGAACGAGTGGATGGAAAAAGAATGATAGTGAAGAAGAAAACGTTGCGGGAAAAAATAAACAACTTAAAGATAAAAGTTAGTGCAAATATTCAAGCATTAGAAGATGTGAAAAAGTGAATAAGCCTGCAACCGATTTTTCTCTATACCACCAAGAGATCTCAGCTACCCATTTCAGCTTGTCTACATCCCCCAACACGCCTGACACTAATAGTCATGCAGACGTACCACGTCTTGGCCTGGCAATCGTGAGCTTTCTTTCAACTTAATCCAAATTCTCTAGCATGGCACGCCGAAGTAGGTGGTGATTCGATATGCGCAACACATGTCCAGGCCACCTCAGTGGATGAAGGTTCGCAACCTCATCAATCGACTTGCTTGCCCTCTCTAGTACACCCAGGATGACCTTAACATTGTTCACACGGTGATTCCACCAAACGCGAGTAATGCTACGTAGGTATGCCTGTGTCCCAAGATCTGTCGAAGGACGAAAATATGATCGACACACCCTCCTCCTGTCTCAAACCTGCCTGGTTTTCTCGAGTTTGTTGTTCGCGAGCCCCAGATAGGTGTCAGATAACTATGGATATCAGGATCTTGGATACAGTATTAATCAAACTAATCCCCCTATGGTTGTCATAGGAAGACTTCTCTGCCTTCTTATAGACTGTGATAACCAGAGAAGTACACGAATCTGACGGGACTACACTCAATTCAATTCCCATACACTGCCTAGTACCCCTGTCACTCTAATTAGCAACTTCTTACCTTCATCCTTGAAAACTTCGGATGGCAAACTGTTAGGTCCTGCTGCTTTGCATCGTTTCAGACTCCATACAGCCTTCCCATTTTCAAGGAGAGTTGGAGGATCGGTATCTACGTCCCACTCAGTTTCAGGCTGGGTGTTGAGCAGCTGAAGTGTTGTTGAGGGCCAGTTAAACTGTGCTTCAACGAGTTCTGCCCAACGTTTTAGTCATCTGTCCTAGGAGGTTATCAGGGTATCATCTTTTTGGTTGATGGTTTCACTAACCATCATCTTCTTGCCGGTGTACTTAGTAATTCTAAATAGTTCTCGAGTGTTACTCAACCCTGATGCCTTCTCCAGCTCTGTCACTTTCGCCACCCACCACTGCTCGTGATCGACGCAAAGAAACTCTTGGTCAATTTACATTTCAGTTGCTTTCGGTCTTCATCGTTGTCAGAGCCAGCTGGAATCAGTCTTCTCGCATCAACTACTTCGGATGACGTTGCGGAAATCCAATGACGTTCTCTGTATAGTCGTCTAGATAGTCAATTATTTTGAAGTGAATTCCAGTAATAATTGATTCTACCACTAACCTTCAAACAAGAGTTTTCTGAACTGACTTCCTTAACTGTAGAATATTAGTGAGAAACTGATAAGCGAAATCTTGATATTGTTAACGCATAAGTCCTCAGTACGTACATATAACTGTTAGACCTCGAATAGCTTTTTAATTATAATGAAGATTTCTAATGATTTACATAAAGATTCGCTTAAATCCCGCCAACTGACGCCAGTGGGGCAAATGTTTATACACATTATCCTCATCTTAACATTATACCGAATCTCACCATTTCCTCATTCTTCCTCTCTCTGAGTACTTTATATTTGTTTTGATTGAATTTTTTTTCATCTTCCACTACACTGCCTTTCAACTTGATATACTTGATATAAGCTGTGACAACTCGGACCGTTACTTAGTATTGCCTGGTCTTATGTTGATTTGGATGGATGGATAAACTGGCGTCATTTACAGTGTTGCCTTGATATCTGATTGCCTATCAGATGCCGAGGGTACTTCACTGCAGCTTGCTCTTATCTACGATGTGGTTACGAAACATCCCTAGTAAAAAAGAGAATTTGAGAAAGCTTCAGGTGTTTGACCACCGTTGCCTGCGTAGTATAATTCCCTGGGTCACGGTGTCACCACGTCTGTAACGTAGAAGTTAACTTATTAGGTTGTGAACCTTTATTGATTCAGATGGCTAAGGCATGATTTAGCCGCAGTCGATAACAGTCTCTTCCATCCCACAATGTCAGCTGAAGTATATTCAGGTTGAGGAAGGATTAAAAGTCACCAGACTAAAAGATGGCGTCATCGTATAAAGCCTTTGATTTTTGGTCTGAGTCGTGTAGAGATATGTAGACTTTCCGGTCGGGGTCGGCTGACAAGAGAAACCAGTGAAGTCCCTAGGTGACGTGTTTCAGAATCTATCTCAGTCTCGCAGATGTATCCACACACTATCTGCATCTTAATCACCATACTGATTTTCATTTTTGTCTGATTCCTCCTTAAGCTCTTCTCGCAACTTTCTTTCACTTTCGAATGCTTGCCTCTTTACTTCTCTGTCTTGTTAGTTCCTTCCCGCTTGATGAGTTGTAGCAACTTCAGTTCAAATTACAATTATTATGTCTTACAATGTTTCCCACTTATCTGATTTCCAAGAGGAATCTTTCTAACACAAGACTAATTAATTTGCAACGGGTTGGTAGATCTAAGTCAAAGAACACAGCACACTTAAAGCATCAACAGCCTAAATGTCTTGTAACTGGAAGGTGTAAGTAGATAAGCTGAGCACGAAAGAGAGCCACTGCTTTAATTTGGTGTTCAGGCAAGCATATCGCGTCGACCCAACGAGTTACACTGGCTAAAGAAAGTGTTTCTTGAGGTTCTACCGTACGAGAAAAGCGTTATAAGGGATACTGGCAAGAAGAAGACGATGGTCAATGAGACAATTGCTAAAGGGGATATTTCCCTAATAACGCTACACTACAGGTGGGATACTTCAGGTTTATTGAGAAGACCCGCGACAACTTAAATTCAGAGGACATCAAGAAGTCCAGAAGCACGTTTATGACGCACGAATGGTTGAATACAGAGCTTTTAACAGGGTGATATACTAACTTGGCATCCTTTTCAGTGAGATACTGCCACAAGGCCTCTCAATCGATGAAATCGGGGGAAAATTGCATAATAATGTCTGTTCAAGGCACTCAAAAGACCCTGCATTTTATCAGTATCTTCACGTAAAAGACAGTATCCTCTGTGTACCCCAAGCTAACCAGGCACCCTACAGGGAGTACATCAGTCGCCGCAAAATCATGGCATATCCATAATAAAGTTGAACAGAAACGGCGAGTGTAGGCGTCCCCACCGAAACCGCTGGTTGTCGTTACTTCAGATGGCTACTTCCTTAACATGGCTGCGTGACTTCTGGCAGACAGACCCGCTTAGCATTGTATAATTTCCCAGTACTCTTTTCACGCTGCCGTAATACATGTCACTAGAGTTAAATGTCACCTTCAGGTCGGAGAATATGGCGAGTGTTGACCGCCGGTAAGTATACCTGTGTTCTAAGACCTGTCGAAGGATGAAGCTGTGCACTTGGACACATTTTCAGTCAAACTGTTTCCCTCTTTTTCTTATCGACTGAAGCGAACTGGACTTTTCCGACATACTAGGTAGCATTCCGCTTGTTTCATCTTTAGAAACTTGTGATGACAAACCGATAGGTCTCGTTAATCCCCACACGATCTAATTGAGCAACAAGTAAAATATGTTTCTGTGATGTCAGGCTATGAAAATAAGTACAAAGAAAATGATAAGGAAGTGTGACCATTTCCAGGTGGTAGGAAAATGTTTGAAAAGGGAGAACACAGGTGTGCAAAGTAGATGAACCAATGGTAGAACAGTAACTAGTGTATGCTGGAAACCACGCTTAAAATACAGTGGATTGGAAATGATGTGTGTAGTGTCTGTGAGTGATCCGTGAGCCAACGAGATGGTCGTACAAAACAACAAATAAAGCCGTAGGAAAAGAGGCAGTCCAAAGTGATCTGCACACTACTTTGCATGCTTATGTTTGATTCCAGTCAACTAATTACTGCTGCTTTTAAAAAACGTAGCAACCTACTGCTTGGTCAATTATCTACATGGGCAGCTGTGCCATTACCAACGGCACTACTGGTTAGTCGTGTACCTCTTTGTTACATTTTTTGTCAACTATTAAAGTGCTTTTCGCAAGGACTCTCCTCATTCTTTCGACCTAAATTCGATTTTTAAGTACAAGTAAAAAACGGATACAATTGGAGATTATATATTTAGTTTCTCTCAACTTTAAAGCAGACAAATGAGTTCCATTCATCTCACGATGTCTGTTGTTCTTGCTTTGCAAAACCAGATGAAATTTCAATATGGTTGCTGCATATACAAAAGCACATTCGTTTATCTGCAAAATATGGTTAAAGCGATAAAACGTTCATCCAGTGATACAGTTAACTATGTGATATGACCTATGCACGTGAAATTGTAATATTTATATTGTTCTCATGTTTTTATTCCGGTTGTATTCATATAGAATCCCCCTAATTCTATTATACGTACATTCATTTTTATCCAGGTAGTTGTACAGTCAAATGGGAAAACAAATCTATGTACTTTATCGTCACCGTTTTTGGTTTAGCTATATGACGTTCGTCAACTTCATATGTGGTCTAGATGTTTGGTCAGATTGTGTGGAGACTGTCAACTGCATTTTCTTAATGATAAACATTCATTCACCGAGTTTAACTGTGGTGAACGGTCTTCATTAACGTAGTTTTCTCTACTCCCAATGTTTTTAAATCTTCGACAATCGTTAAATTAATAAACCATTGTGTTAAATAAATATATATTGTACGGTTCAAGATTTATAAGCAGTTTTCTGCATTTCATATATCTTGATTGTTAGTAGATTTGTTCAGGGTAGCATCGTCAAGTAAAAAAAATTTGTTTTAAAAGAATCAGCGATGCAACAAACCGTTTAATTTCCTTTAAATACAATTCTACCAGGGTATTTCTATTTACATTGCGATAAAAGCTGTTTTTGTAGTGTTTTAAGGATATGTGGTTGTAATGACCAGTGGGAGGTGGATGCCTCCTAATTTATGCCCAATACATTGTGATTAGTGTTCCACTGTATTCATCTCCTGGCAGAATGACCCAACATACAAACACTGTTTTCTGTTATGTTCCAATCACATCCTAATACTTTGATATTTGGTTTGGTTTGCAGTAAACTGAAGTTTCAAGGCATCGTTTAGTAATGTTTAATGACATTTTCAACTGTCGGTACTTCCGGGCATTTTAACGTTTCCGTGAGCTCATTATAGTATCTATTGGGAAAAATACTTGTCTTTGATTAGACTAGAGTGAGTAAAGAGATCCAAACCTCGTTGTGTTTGAGTGGAGAGTGCCGTGTTCGATAACCTACCAGGGCCACCATTCATTCTTCAGTGCTGAGATATGCCTTAGTATTAATGACGCTGAGATACATTCTTATGCTGGTGATATATAAATACGGTGTGCTAAAACATGCCGGTAAAATCCTTATATCAAAAAGGAAATTCGATAATTGACTGGCCTAGCCTGTCGGATACTTTGGTGGCGTCCACGTGACTATGTTGCCAGATTCCCAAGAGTGATGGGACAGTAAATGATTTTCAGGTCATGGTAAACTGTGACTCGACCCAGTCCTGCAGTACAGCCTGTATTTGGTCCGTGAGAAGTCCATCCTGAGTATTCTTACGTATGTGTTCAATAAATTTCTTATCCTTTTAGTGTTGTTGCACAATACTACTTCGACGAGTTTGTAATCTCATTAAAATGCCTGGGGCATTGGAAAGAAAAGTATTCCTAGCAGGGTATCTGTGGAAGGGAGAACAAGCACCACTTAACTCATTTCGATGGCTACTCAACAGAAGAACTGATATGAATCGGTTGAGTTGTAGTAGTGCGGTTAAACTAATCAGTAGTCTTTTTACAGAGATGGAAGGAGTCAAGCAGGGGGTACTTCTTCGGTCATTAGGTCACCACACACTGTGGTATAACTAAAAATGTTTGAGCATCACAATATGGTATACTTGGTAGGTAACTTTCGGTGACACTGCCATAAAACTTTAAAGTTAGTGAGAATGTTTCTTAAGATGGCCTAACTGCACTCGAAGAGATAAGTAGTTTGAAGATGAACTGAAAGTGCTTAGAAATCAATTGGTAGCGTGCTTTAGACTAGACTTATCCTCAATCGCATACGCATTTAGAGAGATAAAAGTGAATGAACTAGATGGGGTGGTGGCCTACCTACAAGGATATTAAGCCACGTGATTCAGCTGGATTGATGACATCTGAGAATTTTATCAGAAAATGAGCTTATCACACCAAACAGAAATACAGTTCCGTAACCTCTAATTGCCAAATGACTTCCTGAAAGAGCACTCCATACTTTTATCATGGTCATATTTAATGAGCGCCAACCTATTTCGTGTACTAAGTGTTGCAACTCAGTCAGGAAGCCAGCAATTCTGTTTTTAGTTAGTTAAGGTTTTAGGATAGTCACTATTCGACGTAAATGACTGAACAATTTCGGTAAGCACGAATTCTGTGATTTGAGTTCAGTGTTCATTTAATGCGCAACAAATTCAGTACTGTTAGATTCAAACACATAATAGAAATATTAGTTTCCCACCAAACTGATTTTGTAAACGACAATGACCGAAAGAATACTGTTTCAGACAGAGTAACAGTGAAAGGGATGGATTGTCTGTGACTATGATAGGTAAGATGTCGATCTTCTTGGTTAAAAATAAAATCAGGAAGCGAAGTCACTTTCCAAGGATATCGTTAACAAATTGTCAGGAGTGTTGATAAAGTAAAATCAGGTTCCTCCCATTTGTTTTCATTGCTGCTACGTTCTGAAGACGTAAACCTATTAACTCACGATAAATTCTTAGTGGTCGAGTATGCGCAAACACCGGCTTTATACGTGTTCAACATTCAAAGGGACCTATGTACTTAGCCAATCACGAAAGATGTCCTGACGCGATTCATGGTGACCAAAATAAATCCTCACAATGATTAAAGTAACTAAACTGAGAGAATCGATTAAAGTTATGCAAAAACTCTAATGAAGTCACATTGGGGTTAACACGAAGTTTCCATCCACAAATGAGAATTCCTGACGTGGTTATTACTTCTCGACTTCACATCACGGAGAACGATATACTTTTAAAAAGAAAAGTAAGTAGCTATTAGGCTGTTCCCTTTGCAACTTATTCAGCAAAAAAATACAAACAGTGCGTCTGACAAGGAAATGATTTAGCTGTAAGATATATTTACAAAGCTGATTTTTAAATTCAAATACATGCACTAAATCCCTCCTAGTCAGGTGACAGAGAGATTGGAAGGAGACCTTTACTGTCTGTAATGTTAGCAAGATGAGGATAGTTTTCTAATATCCAACATATTACATCTTCCTGTTTTCCACGGTACGCCTGAAAGTGATAGAAATTTCAGTTATAAGATGTATATGATTTCTTATAAACAATAGTGTTGCATAGAACAGGACATAAAATTTTGACAACACCCATAGTATTTGGTTAATGTTAGGAACACATGTTACAAATTTCATCCACTTAAATGACTTGACTACCAGATACACCGTATTCTAAAGTGTTGCGATTCTGCAGAGATCCAAACCCAGTAATCATTGCATCAAACACTTGAAGATATTTACGCAGATAAAAATAGTACAAACAAATACTGTTGACATGCAACAGACATGGCAAAAAAAGTTCCAATGCACAAAGAGGTACGGCAATTTGATTTCTAAACAACACGAAGACACTAGTGACACTCATAAAATAACTGGAAGTTACTTTTCAGGTGTGAAATAACGACTCCAATAAATGATGAGACATGAACGAGAAAACTTACATAGTGCAAACAATTTCTACCTTCATTATCACAAGATTCGAGAAGTGCCACACCTCCTTTACGAACAAGCAGCTGCAAAACATTCAGGCGTCCTGTATAAGCAGCACGATGTGCAGGTGTGGCCCCATAGCCTTTTGTTTTGGCAAAAATGTCCGCTCCGACTTTTATCAGTAAATCACAATATCTTCATGATTATTTCTGACAGCATAATGCTATAAATATACTACCAGCTACTAACTCACTAATGCTGTATACCCATACTTGTCTGGTCTGTTAACATCTGCATACTTATCCAGCAATTTTTGAACACGATTTATATCACCACAAGAAGCAGCACCCCAAATCCCCCTTTCAAATCCATTTCATCTAAACCTTGTAAAGTTGATTGGTAGAGACATCCGTGTCCAGTACATGAATGTGAGTGCTCATTCATGCTATCTCGAAAATTTCAGGACGAAGCTACCAAAACAAAAGCCAAGAGTGAACTATTTTAAATAAATTCTAGGAAGGCATATGAAAAAGACAAAAAGTGTACTGGTTGGCAGCACAAGGTAGTCGTTTCACACAAAAAAGTTACACTAGCAAGTCAATCATAGTGAGGTCCATAATATGGCTTGTGTAACACAGTTGATTACTTTCGTCTATGAAAATTCGAAACTGAGCAAGAGCAATGTAGGAAATAAATGTGAATTACCTTGATCTGTCACATTTCAAGAAATAACTGTTTGGAAGTTCTACCAGCTAAGAATAGACGATTATCTGAACACCTTTGAAACAGACTATCACTTGTAATATCAGAAAGAAATGCAGGAAATACCGCTTAGGTGTCTTCATACTTAGATTATTATTCCTATTTGTGCTTTGGAGTAATGGAAACATAGCCGTTAAAAGTAGAAGACACGAAGCGGTTATACGGTTTCGATCACAGGTGCCTTCGCAGCACTGTTTGCATTTGGTGGAATCACCGGGTAACATTGAGGTTAGGAAAAGGCTACTACGCAAGACAAGCAAGTCGACTGAACCTTTTCGGCTGAGGTAGCTTGCAGGATGCAGACGAAATTATCCCGATATACGAAGCCGATAAAATTTAGGGTCTTCTGTACACGTTGAGCAGATATCTGCGTAGTTTGGGATGCGTCTCGCATCTGTCAATGTAAAGTGGTGCTCAGTGACTGCTCTTAGTTTAATGATACGCAGTGAAGTAGTGGAATGTGTCGGCATAGCATTTCTTGAGTTTGGTCAAACGCAACGTGAGGTCAGGCAACGACTGAGTGATGAGCTTGTGAACTTTCATCGTCTGAGATGACTTGGACATGTACTGCGCATGCTGAGCCACCGCCTGTCTAGAGGTGCTATGCTAGGGGAAGTTGGATGGTGTTACGAGTGGGTTCAGGATAGCCACACCAAGACCTGGCACCAGTCGACGAAGCCTTTTCCTGTTGGAGATGTAGACGACACGACTGGATTCCGCGAGACGAAATGAATCAGTTGTTGATGACTTTAGGTGAAATGGCAGAAAATTGGACACAATCTGGCAGATGAATTCACTTCTTGACATTTAAGCTTGAATATCTGCACTACCCGTTACCTTAAAGTTGTTTATCCTCACAAAAAACATTTCTATATTCGTATTAGTCTTTCTTCATCCACTTGATCTTTGTGTATTACCATCAAGTGCAATCACCTGAGTTTACGAATCTGCGTACGACATCATACCAAGATTTTCTTAGTTAGCCATATTCAAGCCATAGAATATGTCAAGGAGTGAATACATCGCCACGGTTGTGAACGACTTTCAGCCGTTTCACACAAATCCCTAAAATACTGAATCACTACATCACGCAGACCATAGTCGGCTTGTCTACACCTCCGAACAGTAAGAGACGTCAAGATGTGACGCACTTACATAAAGTCACCCTTCCTCCTGAGGTAAGACTAGGAAAAGACATGCTTAGTCGTATCTTCCTTCATAGGAGAGGTCGGAAAGCTATTAAGCCATAATTGTTCCTACTTCTTAAATCTCTCATAATATATCACCGTCATATTTAAGTAGTCATGAGCTGTCTACTTAAATCCTACCCTCCATTTGAGGTTTTACATATGTCGGATATGAGATCCTGAATGTGTCCTCATCAAAGCTCTGAAAGCTATTTTTAAAGGATCACAAGATTCAAAAGCCTGTGGTCACTGCTACTCTACCGTTAGCTGAAAGCTTAAGGCAATGACTAGTTATGATGCTTGAGTGTTTGTATTCAGTTCATCATCATCATTATCAACATAG